CTCATACGCTATTGATATGCTCCAATTACTCTGTGCTCCATTTGTTATGAACCAAATATATTTTGATTGAAATAACATTTACGATTTTATATCTAATAAGATGGTATCCTTGAATCTCTTGTATTCTGCCTTGCATTGTGATATCTTGTTTGTTTGAAATTATCCTTTTTCATTCTAGATATGTTTTGTCACTTGGTGAGCTGTTTTTAGCTCACTCTGTTGTTATCAATCTTTCATGTCAACTTGTCACTCTTTGAGATGTTTAAATTAGGCTGAGGTAATGGAGAGCTATTCATAATTTTTGGCAAGTCTTGTTGGTTGTTATGTTATTATTGTATAAGCATATTTTGTACGTAATGAAATGTTATCGATGAACCTGAATGGATATATCATGTAAAAGTGTTAGAAGATCTCTCTTATTTGAAATTTCGAAATGTTTAGTTTACAATGATATGAACTAGTGGTAAATGATTGGAGTTCTAATTGTATAAATTGTTTAGCTTATGGATTTATAAGTGTTGTTAAAGTTTTGTTAAGTTGGCTTGGGTTTCCATAAACGTGAATTATCGAGTGATGTGATACATGATTATAAACTGTACAGGTTTTATGAATATGAATTTGATTGAATGTTTCTCAGTATCCTCAAATATTAGTTTGGATCCTGGATTGATTTGTGATGAAAATTTTTAATATTATCAATATTATTCGGGGGGCGTGACACTACCACTATAACCAAATTACAAATATGGATTCTAATAGTACTACTACTGGTATAGCAGTACTACCATCGGCATAGGCGATACTACTATCAAAAAGGCTAAGAAAGTACAAACAATGCTTGTCGATTGACTCAAACAACACTACCAACCAAGCCTAGTTTAGGCCATTGGTTTGGCCTTCTAACGAGCCTAGTTGGGCTCAGGTTCAAGTCTAATAACTTTTTTAATAAATTAACATGGTTTTGACTTAAAATAAACTCAAATTAATTCATAATGATCTTGATTAGGACTTCGATAAATTAACCACACATATAGCATATTTATAAATCGTTTGACATATTGTACACTATTCTAATATATTGTCTGATTTTCTGGTACTTCATTTAAACTTATGGCACATCACTCTTTCCTATGATATATAATCTTTCAGTTAAATATCTGATCCTTCCATCACGATGCCCGAACCCTTAGCATGAAGTTCAATGAAATATACATTGACCAATCATTCAGCTCGACTCCAATTTTTGACATGATAATTTCTTAGTATAATGTTTGACTATCTTGCTCAATAGTTGGCCATTCGGTGATCCAAATTCATGATTAAAATATTTTCTATAAACTTATCAATTAATTTCATCATTAAAATCCAAGATTTAACAGAAATTAATGAACTAGAATGACATACGAGAACTCACTGAATTGTCTAATAATTATAAAAGTATATATTATATATGAGTCTTTAATACTAAACATGACCCAAATGGTAACTTTAAATAATGACCAAGGTTTTACTCATAAAGAAAACATTAACCATAATGAGATATTTTCTCTAGTTTATCTAATGGACTTATTAAAAGCCATCAAAATATTAATAGCTTATTATGATTTTAAGTTACATCATATGGATGCAAAAATAATTTTTTTGAATAAAAATCTGGATAAAATAATTTATATTGATTAATCTAATGATTTGTAGAGAAAAGAAAGAAATGTAAAATTTGGCATACAAATTTAGAAAATCCATTTAAAACATAAATAAGTTTTTAAACAATGACATATAAAATTTCATAATACTATTACTTCTTTTATATTTTAAAAAAATAATTGATCAGTATTTATATTTGAATATCATGGAAGTAAGCTTGTTATATTAGTTTTGTATATGAATAATATTTTACTTATAAAAAATGATCCTGGTTTACTACACGGAGCTAAAAAAATTTTACTAAAAATTTTAAAATGATTAATATAATTGATACAACTTATCTTATTGATATAAAGACATTTAAGGATACATCTTAATAATTATTAAGACTATATCAGAGAGAGAGATTTAGTGTGTAGTTTTGTTTGACAAATGATAAGGGTATAAGATTCAATTAAAGTCAGTGTTTCTAAATTTACTTAGAAAAAAATAAATAAAAAATATTCTTTATATATGCATAGTTGAAAGTCTATTATTTGCTCAAGTCTATATCAGACTAGATATCAATTATGTAGTTAAAACACTAAGTAGATATTAGAGATATCCAAGAATAAAATGTTGGAAGGCAGCAAAGAAATGAAGCAAGATATCTATAAGTGATAAAAGACTATATGCTCACATAAAGAAATTCAAATCAATTTGAAATGATGATAATTTTATATAGTGATTTTATAAATTACTTCAATAATAAGAAGTCTACTTTATGATTTATATTATCTAAGTATAATAGTATAATGCAAATTGTATTATCAATAATAGAAGCTGATTTGATAACATGCTTTGAGGCCACTAATCAAGTTTTCTAATTGTAAAATTTTATCTAAGGATTTAGTGTGGTCAAACTAAATTGTTAAGTTGCTAAAGATATTTTATGACATATCACAATAGTTTTTTTCTATGAGAATAACAAGTATTATAATAATTCTAAAGATATTGATATAAAGTATTTGGTGGTTAAAGAAAGAGTCTAGAAATGATTAATGTCAGTTAAGAATCTAAATTTTATTATATTAATTGTTGATCTATTCACTTAGGTCTTATGTCCTAAAGTATTTAAAAGTACATGTTTTTATGATTGAGTTTATGAAAAGATATGCTAATATGTGTTTGAGTGAATTTTATAATCGATATTTTTATTTATATAATTAAAATTATTTATTTTTGTTATCCTATTCATATTTATTTGTATATATATTATGACCAAATATGAATATTTTCTTAACAAGATAAATTACGTGGATCATTTTGAATTATACTAGGAAAGAGCAAAAGTGTTGTAGTACATAAAAGAAAGTATAATATTGATGACATACAACTACTATGATTCACATTGCTAATCAAATTTAATATAATTATATTTGTTGGACTTATTGGTATATTTTTAAATTTATACATATATAAATACTTTTCCAAAATTTTAGAATCTAATTAGGTAAAATTATTTTTAAATAAATTTTAATTTATTTATTTTAATTTTAAACCCTTTTATATCTTATCAATTAATAAGTCAAGTAAGAGAATATTAGATTTTATGACCCTAATTAATTGGTTAATATATATTAAATTTCTAACTAGATTTTGATTAAGATTATCATCTAATCTTAAGAAAGTCCATTTATGTTACGGTACCCTAATATGATTTTGATGGGAGAAACTCTACTAATTATTTTTGACTCATTGCTCTCGCCTATATATAGGTAGAACCTTTTACGGATCATATTATGATCATATAGATCTCTTTTCTTATTTCTCAATATGTCCTTATTTTATCAATTATAATAATTCTAAAAATAAGAAAAGAGAATAAGACAAGTCTACGAGATGAGTTTAGCTTTTCTGTACATATTCACAATATATATAGATCATGATCTATTACTTTGCGACAAATAAGGTATCATATTGATTATCATATTCAAAAGATATATAATTTTTGTCATGATTCTCTAATATCTAATCAAATATATTTTACCAAACAAACTCTATTTTTTTTTAATCTGTTGTAGGAAGGAGATATGAATATCTTTCACTATCAAATCCAAGTGGGACAATGGACACATAATGTGAATGACTTTTGCTTTGAAAACAAATTCTCTTCCCCTCTACTCATATCACTTCTAGATATGATTGTATTTAAAAAATAAATCAAGTCAAATTAATTTTATAAAATCGAATTGACAATCAAATAAGATCATATCACCTATTAATAAATACTAACATTTGACTTTCCATATATGGATTAACTACAAGTATTTTAAAAAATACATAATTAATTTATAAATATTTTTGGGTTCACACAATTAAGCCATTCATGTTGCGTTCGTATACAACTATCTCTCTCTCTCTTTTTTTAAGTAAAAAAAAAAAATTATTAATCGAAAAGTTCATTATCTCAAAATCTATATTATTTCTCTATAACTGAGGAGGGATAAAAGTAGTTCTTATAAAATTAATAAATCTTAAAGGTTAGACTATCAATTAATATATACCCAATCTATCTAGTACATTTAGTTTGAAAGTCAACATGAAGATATCATTTCAAATATTATGTAAAAACCAAGGTATCAGTTTGCTATGATTAAATATTTTTAATTGTATCAGTTCTTATAAAATTTAATTGTAGCAATTCACAAAAATTTTCTCGCTAAATTGAGAAAAAACAATATACTATGAGAGGAGTTTTCTCCGAGAGACATAGTTGTTGCCTTAACCTATACAAAATTTTACTTTATTTATTTATTTATTTATTCTAGAAGATTTTTTACGATAACCTAACCTAGTGATAAAATTAAGATGAGACGGACATCATCCTTCGTTTTTGTTTGCTCCTTTCTCTTTAATCATCTCAATTATTCTTTTATTATTAAAGTTTTCACAACGAGGATACACAATTTGACAGTAAGTCCTACTTATTTTAGCCGTCATGTCGCCAAAAATATTACGAATCATATAACTAATACGTTTAGCATCTATCGATCATAGAGAACCAATTAGCTAGTTCACGTGAACAGTTCAAATGTTCCTCAATAATTTTAACGCTGCGTATATGTTTGCATCGATCAATCAACTGACAGCTGGCAGCGCATGTGATCCGGCGAACATCCCGCTTCCCGCCACGTGGTGATAAAGCCCCTTCAAAGCCGTCCATCGCACCCCTTTCTCTTATCCCGACCGTCCGCTTGATTTGAAAAAAAAGGTTGCATCAAATCAGGCGGTTGAGATGGACGGTGGTGGAGGGATTCCAAACAGCCTCCACCACAGAATTTGTTTTCGGAAATAACTCCGCCTCATGCCTCTCTCAACTTAAAACGGCGGAAGAGAGGAGACGAGAACGCACGAGACGCTCGTCCTCCTCTTCTCGTTCCGTGCACTCTCAACCTCAGCACTCTCATCTCCGCAGTAGTACTACATCGGCGCTCAGAGAAGAGAGGGAACCCTCGATCGAAGTGCTTTCCTCTCTCTCTCTCTTTCTCTGTTCAGCCGGGATCTCTCTGGAAACTAGAGGTGATTTTGATCTTTAAGCTTATCCATGGTCTCTTTCCGATCTGGTCACACCCCATGCGCCTCTTTGACATGTAGGATTCGTGTTGTAGTTGAGGTTTTTGTTCTGTTCTTTCGTTTTCTGAATTGGAGTTGTCGCTTGATTTAGCAATAATGAATCGGCAGTGTTTCGTGGCCGGTTTAGTTTCATCGGGTTTTGGTCCTTGTGGTGGTTTTCCGGGTGTTCTTGGATCTGAATGATGTGTAGTCTTATGTGTTTCTTTACGGATATTTCCTGATTGAGGCTCTGCCTTGAACGTGATTACTCTGTTCGGTTTCGAGATTAAATCATGGCTTAGTCTGATTTCGTGTTACCGGACGCAACTATCTTGATCACCATTGTTAGGGTTCTGATCGATGTTTTCGTTTCTTGTGGTATTACTGTGGCTGCTTGCAACGATGCTGCTTTGGTTTTTTGGCCCTTGTGCATGTTGATGTCTTGTATAACATGCAGGAGCGACTTTATATGTTTGGAATATCATTCTTCACAGGATAGGTTTTGTGCTCTCCATCATGCGAAGATTATAATTCAGCACAAATTATTTCTGTTACCGTAAGATACATGGTGGCCGAAACATCATGTGTGTGAGCGCCGGTGATGAGTTTTTCATCTTTGGTGCGCCAACTAGTATGGATTATTATTCTCGTAAAAAATCCAAACCATATGGATTTATGCACAACTAAGCCGCATTACGATTATTTTGTGGTTTCAGAGCTGCTGCACTGTCTGATATGATTTGGTTCTAAATATGTTTCACATGTAAGCTATGAGACTAAGAATATTTTTTTAACTCGACCTTAGAACTTCGTGGGACCTTTAATATAGAGCAAGTGCTGTTGTGAGTCACTGTGTATATTATATTCCTCAAACTATAATTTGATGCTCTGAAGGTATAAAAAGTTTGATGACTTATAGTTCTCTGTGCAGGCAGTGGAACTTATTTTAGATGTGTCAGTACTCAGATTTATCGGTCATGTGTTCTCTAAGATTAATCTTGAATCTTTTCGTTGAAATTGTCTAGGTTGGGACTTGGGAGTAGTTAACTTCTGCAATGAGTTTTCTTAAAACAGCTCCTCCGCCTGATTGCTTCTTAAACCAACATTGCTCGCGATGGGCTCAAATGTACTTGAAGTATTGCCTTTGTAGTACAAAGGATGGAATTTCCTTATTTCTTGGAGCTGCCAGTATCATCAGCTGGGTAATTGCAGAGATTCCTCAAATCATGACAAATTACTGTGAAAAATCTACAGAAGGCCTTTCAATTGCTTTTCTAATGACATGGATCGTTGGGTAATGTTTACTTTTATCTCGCACCATGCTTCAAATTTTAACGAAGTGTTCTCATTTGGGTAATGCTCTGCATTTGAGTGTTTAGCTGAATCAGGATGTTTTACACGGTGTAACCTGTTCTTGGTTCATGTCAGCATAAAGCCGTTTTAGTTTGAGTTCTTTAGTTTCCCATACGTACCAAGTTTTGTTCTCTATATTAATAACAAATAGGGAGTGTAAGAATGGTGTTGTCATAATTGCAACATGTTGGCTGCTTGAGTGACGAATAAACTATTCAACATGATATCTACTCAAATACAAATTGATAAGATAATGTTACTTATTGACTTGCTGATGCTTTATTCGTCTTATGAATTGAGATAACAGAAGATGTTCTGATGCCTGTTTCACACATATAACTTGTTCCCAAGTTGATGATACAGTCCATTTGAGTCCTTTTCATGTACAGGCCTTGTGTTTCTAAGATGGCAAACAAACTCAGTGTTGAATTGTCTTGCATTTGTGCACTTTGATTGTTTCATATCTGGGAGTGCTAAACGTTGTGTTCTTAAAAAAGAGAATTCACAGATCTCATCATTAGTAGCAATTTGCATCCCTATATACTGCTTATTAGACATATATCAAAGCTAAACATGTTAAAGCACCATTTAATTTGATGGGTTCAAACCCCTTCTCTGTTTCCAGCCTTACCTTTTTCCTGTTTCTTTCTTAACTTCTAATAATGGATCCATTTACTTGCAGAGATTTATTTAACCTCATCGGCTGTCTGCTAGAACCTGCTACTGTAAGTATCATTGACATCTATGCATGTAGAATTGATCATTATATCATTCTCCAGGTTTTCTCATATGGAGATCATTAGAAGTTCATAGTTGACTGAGTAACCTTTCTAATAAGCTACATTGCATTATTTTGCTAAGCTTGGTGTACGGTGTTTGCAGATTTAGATCTATCAACTGCTGAACTCTGTCAGGAACACGTTGTTAAACTTGTTTCCTGATTGTGCTTTTTTCTGTTATCACCTTTTGTATCAGCTGTAAAAAGTTCTGATGCCCTTCTGACTCCTCTCATGCTTATTCTGAAGTTTAAGAGTATGGTCTGACTCCTCTCTGCCTATATCCATTGACCTAGCTCTTCAGCATGGATATGCATTTGATCTTGCATTGTATCAGTTCCCATCTCTGATCTAATGAATTATCTACATTTTTTAGAATTTATCACAAGTGCATGTGCCTAGAGTCCAAGCCAATATTTTCCTTAGTGATTACTGAACCCATTCTCTTACTATAGGTATGCTAGAAGTACATTTGCTTGGTTTTCTACTCTTTAAACTTACTAGGGGCATTGTGTATCCACTTTTAAGAGTAATAAGGGGCATTTTCTGAGTATTCAATGTGTGCTGTCAGCACTCTTTTGTCAAATGATTTTAACTTTATTCATTACTTTCTATTGGGTATGGGCAGTTAGGCACAGTGCCTTCTTCCGTCTTCCATTTTTGATGTAATCGTCCAAGAATGTTTCTCTTCTATCCACTCTTTTTTCAAAGTTATACACAATACAGGCACTATATCTACCTAATTATTTCTTCCTAGTGTAGAATGTCAAGCAAGCAATGATCCTTTCACCTAAGCCAGGTCAGTTGATCAGATTAATCTCAGGTATTTGCCACAATCTCATTTATTTGCTCTCACTTCTGATCCCAGTTGTATCCCTATTATGGACCACATCATATCTTCCCAGCTCTCTGATATTAGGTTCTAGACAAGCCTACCAAATTGTGAACTGGGTTTTAGGCCAAACAAACATTCATTGTGATGTCACACTGGCAATGGTGTCACAGTAATGAAAAAGGATAATGTCTTAGATATTTTACAATATGAAGTTGATTGCCAAAAAAAAAAAAAAGAAGTTGATTAAGAATTCTGATTTGCTAACTTCTATGTTTATTTTTGCAGTTGCCGACACAGTATTATGTGGCATTGGTGAGATTTTCAACTTAAATGATAGTAAATGTTGCATAATTCTACTACTTATCTTGGTTTATGGTTGTTATATTGACTTGCAGTTATACACAGCAAGTACAGTTATCCTGACTGGGCAGACTATGTATTATGGTTACATTTACCATAGACTTGAACCAAACAAACATGGAATACATGTCAAGGTAATACATACTATCTGATGTTATAGACCTCCAGTAAATAAATGGAGATCTTAATGTCTTTGTTAAAATATTGCTTGAGGCAAAACTTTCACTTCTTCTTTTGTTGCCAGAGACTTGGTGTATGCTAGTAATTTGCACCATTTAACTCATAGGTAATATATTGGTCCTCATTTGACCAATATAAACTGAGATTACATATGTTATATATCAATTTAAATAATTACCGAATAGTGAATCTTAAATTTTGGGTCCTTATATGTGGAAATCTCAATTGTAGTGTATGGACAAAGTTAAGATAGTTGTTGTTGCCTGTTTGTACCTCCATGCTTCCATCTTGACTAAATTCTATTCTGCATATTTTGGTAAATTTTGATTTGATTGAATGGAGATGATTTACTTTCTTTAGAACCTTATGGTTTTTGATATCTTTAGCTATGATTTCAGAGCCAAAAGCATCATCAAGAAGATGGATCAGCAGAAGAGTGCCTGCTGGGAGATTCAAAGAAAACTAGAGTTCATGGTTACCAATCAAATGGCACAAGTCCCTCAAAGGAAGTCAACATACCAAGCTCACCAATTCCAGTTGAAGTACTTTGTGATTCCTATGGGAGTGACTTCTATTACACGTAGGTTTCTTGTTCATTTTAATTCTATTTTTTAGGTTTTAAATCTGTATCTTCATTTATGATTAGACTGTTTTCTGAAGTTGGCAAATGAATTTGTACAAGTTATGATATAAATATATTGTGCGAGACAAGTGACTTGAGTATCATCTTTTGATCCTATTGTAATAGATTAAGGGTTTACTATATTTATTTTTCTTTGTAAGACACGCCTTGTACAGTCTCATCTAAATCATGACCTACATTACTAGGTTTCTATTTCTTATGGTTTGGTATGACTGAGTCAAGAAATAATGTTTAAGATATAAGATTTCTAAATAAATCCAATATCACGTAGGACATCACCACATGGACCATTCTTGGGCATTATCTCTTCATGATGGCTTGCTTACTAGAAATTCTTACCAGCCTGTATTCCAGATTTAGTAATCTAGCTGCCAGTTAATTATCTGTCAAATTGAATGGAGGGACTGGTGGCATATCTTTTTAAGCTTTATTCAGTCACATCTGCATGATTCAGCAAAGTGTAAATGAATGATCCTGTTATGATTAATTGATCCTCAGGTCCTGATTTCTTTTAATTCTTTATCTGAAAAGTAATCTCCAGTGTGGTTTAAATAATGACAACCTGTAAGTAATTAACCATTTTAAACTGTCAAAAATGCTTTGTCACATTAATTTCTCTTATAGACCTAAAATATAAGTAGGATATGGTGAAATTTTTAAGATAGCTAATCATTCCTTCTCGCTGGTTGATTCATTAGTCTTCCCAGAATAGGTGTAAGGTTCAGATCTCAGATAGTGTCAATTGCAGACTTTGCTACTATCAGGAACTTTGCAGCTTATGTTCCCAATTTTTTTGCTGCTTATGTTCTTATATTTTGATTGTTTCCTTCTATCCAATAACGAAAACTTTCTCATTTGCAACCACAATCTCCTTCTCCGATCCCTCCTCTTTCAGATCAAAATGAAAATGCTTTCTACATTTTGCACATTATGAAGAAAGAGTCATTGTAATGCACATATCAACCCTGTTATGATTTTTCTTCTAGCATCAGCCTTTGCTAAGTGTTTCAGGACCCTGATATCTTTCTTTTGGTAGAAATAACAAATGCCAAGGCAAGAAATGTTATCATTGTTAAATATATAATCAATCATGTTTTTTTCAAGGGGGAACTGCCTCAAATATATTCACGAGGTATGAACAAATATCCAAGGACCTAGGGACCTAAAGTACAAAATGAACCTTGTAATATTTAAAAACCTAGACAAGACTAACCTAATGATTCTACATATTGCAGGATGTGTTCTCAGATATTTCCTTCAAAGAGTTTGTGAAATGATTTGGAAGTCTTGCCATGTTTCTAATAGACATTGTCAACATTCCTATTTCGTGTTCCCATTCCAGATGCTCCATGTCTATGTAATGTATAAGCCTCTCCATAGATCAAGGAAATAGTTATTTATTTTGGCATTTTATTTTACTGACAAGGTTGTCAGCTTCCAACCAGTAACAGTACAGTTGCAGCAGTGGAACAAGTGATCCTTCTTTAATGTAGCATTGTTATATTAAATCAGTTCCATAGCGAATGTTACTTGTGAAGTGAATTTAATCAATATTTCTTTCTTGGTAATTCAGTTTGTGCTTGATGTGTTAGTCTTGGCAAATGTTCCATGTGAAGTGAATTTAATCAATATTTCCCTTTGGTGATTCAGTTTGTACTTGATATGTTGTTCTTGGATGTATGCTAATCTGTTTTTGTGGTGTTCATTCATTGTTATTCAGTTTATCCTCCATTTGTTCTTACTTTTGCATATTTACCAATCTTTGATGCCAGGTCAGCACGGTCTTTATCTAAAAGCCCTGTGCCTGCTTTTGGTGCTTGGTTAGCACATTCATGTGACAATGGAGGGTCACCACCCAGAAGTGGCAATCAGCAATCTGTAGCAAAAGAGCCTCTAATTGACAGGATTATTTTCCCGCAATCTGCACCACCGAATTTGAGTACTAAAAATATGCTTGCTGTAGTGAGTATAGAATAGCTGCTCAAAACTTTTCTTTTTGGATTTTACATAATGTGATAATGAATTGTATGGGCACATGCTTCAAATTCAGGTACCTTCAGCTGTATTTTTCTTTGGTATGTGTGTTCTTCATCTTTGCACCAATGATGTGCACACTGCATCACCTAATGGAATGGTCATACGAGTCGGACGTAAGTTGTTACAGGTAATGCTAGTCCGTATTCCTTTTTGAGTTAATGCTGCATATTTGCTCGAGCATGTGAAATCTTCTTTTATCTTGTCTTTTGATCATCTTTAAAACATTGCTGCAGAAATGCATTACTTATTTTACTGAACCATTCATAGGACCATGTTCAAGATGATGGAAGCATTGGAGTCGGAAACTTACTTGGTTGGGCAATGGCAGCTATTTATATGGGGGCAAGGCTTCCTCAGATATATTTAAACGTGAGAATGAACTCTATGCGTATGAAATACTATTAATAGTCAGCAAATTTCTTTATCTTTGGCACATTGCAAGGACGACGGCAACTTTTTTGCAGTGGGAACATGCAACTCTGCTATTTTGTTGTATCCTCATTTTTACATGGCTATTTCACTTTATGTAAAACTTAATCTGACTCTGTGTTTTCGAATGTTTTGCAGATTAGAAGGGGCAATGTTCAGGCAAGATCTCATATCTTATGATGCTTTGTGTGGCTAATTTTTTGTTAAGACCTCCACCCATACATTCTGCCCCACCATACTTACCTGACCCCCACCCCACCACCCCACTCCACCGGAGGATGTGGAAATTCTTTTTAAATGCTTTGATTAACATGTTATTACTTTTTGTTAACTATATTGGTTAGTTGACCACTTGGTGTGATCATGTGTCTCTCTTACAGGGCCTTAACCCGTTAATGTTTGTTTTCGCGGTGAGTGGAAATGCAACATATGTGGGAAGGTATGGTGTGTGCTGAATATTTTGATGGCACTTTTAGAAACTTCACGTAGACTTTCTGGGATTGTGCTTTTAGTCGAGGAGCAACTACCATATTCTGCATCTTTCTGTGCAGTATTCTTGTGGAAAGCTTGGATTGGCATAAAATCAGGCCCAATCTACCCTGGCTAGCTGATGCTGGAGGATGCATACTTCTGGATGTTTTCGTATCCTTCAATGATATTTGTTTGTTTTATGTTCTATCAATGGTTTTGCTCAGATGAATGGAGTTTTTCTCCACTGCCAAATTCCATATTTGTTGTTGATATCTAGCGATCGCTTGAAGCAAAAGTCTCTTTAACTAAGTCAGATTCTGATCCAATTTTTCTATTTTCATTATCGGAAACAGCAGAGGTCTGAATCTAAAGATAACCCAGCTTAACAGAGAAATATGATAGTTGAAGAAATTCCAGAGACGAAATTTCCACTCAGGTGAGCTCTAATTTACTATTGAGTACCTCTTAGCAAAGACACTATTGAGATAAATTTACCAAGGGATCTATAATTTTGATTCTTCTTTTTAAATCGACCTCCTAATTCAATGAAATGCTACTGTGTTTTGAGTGTATCATCAAATTAAAAGTCAATAACACTTCGCTACTCTTACGCTTCAATTTTCAATAATTACAGGGCTGAACAAAAATATTTTGCCTGCATTCTAGCTGCTATCAGTGATGTATCCGGGAAACAAGATTTTGAGTTTTCAATGAATATTATAGCATAGACTAGGTTATCATGGTTGATGGAAAATTTGAGCATGGCTTGACAGATTGTTGCCATCCCTCCCGGAATCATTTCTCTAATTAAACTCACTATCACTGTGAAAGTTTTCTTCGATGTGACAACCCAAGCCTGACACTGAATGATTTTTGTCCCAAAAAAGCACTAATGGAATCCGTTTGGTGTTGTATCCTATCCTTTTTGAGTCTTGTGATCTTTCTGATGGTAAATGTTCTTTTCGTTGCTGGTGAATACACTGCAGGGGGATTCTCTGGTTGTTTTACTTCTACATGATCGAGGAGGTACCACATCGGACTACCACTTACAGAGTATTGCATTTTTTTGCAAGCTCTCACAGACATATTCGGACCATGTGCATGAACAGGAGTTGGAACTCCGGACATCTGATGACAAGGGTCATTTTTGCTTTGCTTTTGTTATTCTCCACTGGTGACTTGAATTAGTTTGTAATGGATTTGAAATATTAGAAACCAAGTTATTTTTTTGGGCAGAAAACCCATAATACATTTGATAGAGGTTGTTGCTACATTTAGTGTACATAATTCAATTTAAATGCACCAGAAGAGCTACTTGGTATTTATATGTGCACCAGTTACAAACAGATTCATCTATGGCCAAATTGATTCGACGGAGACCTTGGCATCGCTATGGTCGGTCTGATCGTATCGCTCCTCCCTTGGAGGAATGTAACAGCAGAAATGGCGTCGAGGGAAGAGTGAGCACTCGGCAGTAGCTCCGCCTTTGCCGCCCTGAAGACCTCCGATAGGATATGGATGGACTAGAGAAGCCATCGCAACAGCTTACTTTTCTACGTTCGGTGATCAAGGGTGAGCAACCATGGTTTGCGTGTTCGCTGCATAAATATAATGAAGGGCTGTGTGCTTCAGCACGTTGATTACGATGGCTTCTCTCTGTCTCTGCCTTCGCTTCGATATTGATGTGCTGCCTTAAAAGTGGGACTCGGTCAAGATCACGGGAAGATATATATATATATATATATATATATATATATATATATATATATATATAAAGCTTTTATTATTTATTTATATTTAAAATAATTATTATATTTTTAAAAATATAATATATAAGTTCCTTTCGTCGTGTTTGAGTTAACAAACATTACGTTAGAGTTTACTTATAATAAATTATTAATATAATGACATGGGTAATTTAAATTTAAAAAAAAGTTAAAACTATTTTAGTTCATATACTTTTGATTATGAATCTCTTGAGCCTTATGGTTTACTCATATCTAAAATAATACCTATATTTTTAAAAATATAACATATAAGTCCCTTCCATCGAGTATGAGTTAACAAACATTAAAGTTTTCTTACGTGACATATTGACTCATAATAAACTATTAATATAATGATATATATATTTTAAATGAAAAAAAATAAGATCATCGTAAATTATGGGAGAAGACGTCATCATAGAAGCGACCACCGATAGTAGCACCGAGTTGTTGTTGCTTAGCACGGTGTCGTACGCATGTAACTTCTCCCGCGTTGACGATGAGCTCAAGAGCTTCTGGTCCTATCTCAAGTGGATGTGCGTCGACTAGTTTGACGCTAGGCACGTAGTGGTCTTCTGGTCCCTCTTCCATTGAATCCCGGATTTTGATGATGTAATCAATTAATGAGTGTATGATTTAATCTATGTTTGAGAAAAATGATGCAGGATTATTTTCGATCATGAAAAAGCAAATTAATTGAAACAGGAGAATCATACATTGGGTTAGAGTCAAAGATTGAGCATCAGGTCGAAAGAATCAAACATTAAGCTAAGATCGGATGTTGTGGGAGTCAACATACCGATGGATCAAGTAATATGTCGAAGAAAAGCATGATGCGCCGAGAGTTCAGATAAATCAATGACATGCCAGACAACATAAGATTCATGTTTTGTAATCGTTTGTCTTGATCATTGTAGTTTAGGTCTTAATTGACTTGGTTTTGGGTGTAACAATGTCAACTTAATCAGGGGCCTATTGGGCTTAAATCAAGGCTGATTTGAGCTAATTGGATGGCTCATTCAGTGGCCTACAGTTGGGTCAGGCGGTGGCACCGCCAAACCAAGTGGTGGAACCACCTATGAGTTGGAACATACGAAGTGTACGTTCTCGGAAGACCCGGCAATGGCTGCCAGGGTTAAGCGGTGGTACTGCCCAAACTGACTGGCGATAGTACCGTCAGAATATAGTTTTCGAGACTATGTTAGGCGATGATACCACCTAGATTGACGGTGGTACTGCTAGTGCTCAATGCTGTAGGCGGTGGTACTGCCAATACACCAAAAACCTAGGGATGAGACTTTTTGGCTCTATTTTTGAAGTCATTTAAAACCTATAAATACTCCACTCATTCCTACTTGAGATAGCAAGAAAAGAGCTCAAAAAACTTGTAATTCTAAGTATACAATCTAAGTGTTAAGTCCTTCCTCCTCAATCTTCCAAGTCAATCTAAAGGAGTTGTGAGGACTACTTATAAGAAAAAAAGAGTTGTAAAGTTTCTCTCCTAAACCTATGAAAAGGAGAAAAGAGTTGTAATAAGGGTGGTTTATCTTCGCCCATTGAAAGAAGATCGTTAGTGAAAGCCGATGACCTCGACGGAGGAGGAATTGGGAGTAGACGTGGTCGCAACAACCGAACCACTATAAATTCAGTGTGTATTTCTTTTTATGCTCTTTATTACTATTGTTTTCTGATTTAATTTCTTATTACATTTACTCATATTCTAAGTCAAGCATATTTTCGATATTAGTTTCATCGAATGAATTTTTAAATCATAATTTCTTGAAAGTATTAATTCACCCCCCTCTTAGTGACTTTACGATCCTAATAGTTAGTATCAAAACCAAGTTCTCTTAGTTGGTTTAAAACCCAAGAGAGATTATATGACTTTTTTCCTACAATCAAGAGGGTTACACTTATCACTCGTCCTCCTATGTTCAATGGGATGGACTATACGTATTGAAAAATATGAATGAGGATTTTTTTGATTTATATAGACTTTGATTTATGGAATATTATCGAATATAATTTTAAAAAAACCTCTATGCTAATGAATGAATGGAATGATATAAAGAAAAAAATCGTTTTCTTTAAATGCTAAAGATATGAATGCTTTATTTTATACTTTAAACAAAATAAGTTTAATCATGTTTCTATATGTGAAACTATACATATGATATTTGGCATACACTCAAAGTTACACATGAGGGCACAAGTAAAATTAAAGAATTTAAAGTTAATCTCTTGGTGCATAGCTATGAATTGTTTAGAATGAAACCAAGCGAAACTATTTGTAATATATACACCCATTTTATAGATGTTATTAATGGTTTAAAAGCTTTTGATAAAAGTTATACTAATCTTGAACTTGTTAATAAAATTTTACGATCTCTTCTAAAAAGTTGGGATCCAAATGTAACTGTTATTTAAGAAGCAAAAGACTTAAACTATTTTTCTCTTAAAGAACTCACAGGATCATTAATAACATATGAAATGACTTACAAGACACATGATGAATATGATAACAATATTCCAAAGAACAGGAAAGATATGACACTTCGAACCAAAGAAGACCACTGATGTGAAAGCTTAAGTGATGATGATGACTTGGGCACTCCTCACAAGAAAATTTTAAAAATTCATAAAAAGAAACAAAACAAATCTTGTAAAACAAGACACTAAGAACAAAAATGAATTTAAAAAGAAAATAATCATTTTCTATGAATGCAAGAAGTCAAGGTACTTCAAAAGTGAGTGTCAACAATTGAAGAAGAAAATGCTAACACAAAAGAAGAAGAAAACACACAATGTGATTTGGGACGAATCAAGTGCATTAGAAGACGAAGAGCAAACCAATGAAGATGAGGTGGCGAACTACGCCTTGATGGCTCTCAACGATGAGATATGTGACTCAACCAAAACCTCTTTATCTTATGATAAATTACTTAATTCATTTCATGGTTTATATAATGAATTTAAATTAGTTAGTAAAAAATATAAATTACTAAAAAAGGATCATTCTTCTCTCTCTAATAAATTAAAAAAATTAAAAAATGAGTATGACAATTGCATGTTAACCTCTTATACTCAAGTGAAGAGTTAGACTTAGTCAAAAAGGAAAATATAGTATTACAACAAATATTAGAAAATTTTAAAATTGAAAACATATCATTAAATCGGCTTTGTGAGTAGTATCACTCAACGAAAGCATACTATATTTGTTAAAGGACCCACATTGTATGTTTCCCCTAAAAGTATATGTAATTTTTATGGTAGATATGGTCATTATGCCTATAAATATTCATTTAAAAGATATAGCTTGCATAAATTAGTTTGGGTTCCTAAAGGAATCATAAATAACTTAATGCCAATAGTCAATATAGGTAGATCTATTCATGAGGGACTCAAAGTTAAATTGGTACTTAAAGCAAACCCTCATTTCTTGTAGATATATCTACAATCGAAAGCTAGGAGCAAAAGACATTATCTTAATAATTGATGCTCAAGGCATATGACTAGAGATCTAATATATTTCTGTAAGCTCACTAGCCAAGATGAAGGATATGTCACATTCGAAAACAATAACAAAGAAAAAATTATTGATAAAGAAAATATAGGTAACAAATCAAACCTCTTGATTGAAGATATTTTATTAGTAGATGGTTTAAAACATAACTTACTAAGCATTAATCAATTATGTGATAAAGGATATAACATTAAATTTGAATCTAATACTTACATTATAGATGTATCACATAAAAATAAATCTATGATTGCCTTAAGGACAATGTATATGCTATTGATCTTGATGATTTTTATGATGAAACTTACTTTTTGGTTTTGGTTTTAAACGATGATGCATGACTTTAGCATAGGAGATTAAGTCATACAAGTAAAAAATTAATTTCATAAATTATAACTAAAGAATATATAAGAGATATGCTTAGAATTAAATTTATCAAAGATAAAGTTTGTGATGCATGCCAACTAGGTAAACAAATAAAGAGTAGCTTGAAATCTAAAAAACAAGTAATTACCTCAAGACCACTATAATTAATTCATATAGATTTATTTGGACCAATTGATATCACAAGTCTAGGATGTAGTAAATATATTTTTATGATTATTAATGATTATAGTATATATACTTGGACATACTTCTTGGTACATAAAAATGATTGTTTTAATTTTTTTAAGTTTTGTAAGTATGTTCAAAATGATAAGGGTTTTATGATTTTCTCTATTTGTAATAATCATGGTGGTGAATTTAAAAATTATTATTGTCTTGTCCTCAAGGCTAATGATTCATGAATTCTGGGAATTTGATCTTCAAGTCATCATAGTTCTCCCAAGTAGCATTTTCTGTTGGTAGGTTCGCCCACTATATTAGCACTTCAGTAGTGGATCGTCGTCATCGAGTCACGATCTGTTAATCAATAATGACACTTGGTTGGGTCTGGAGTTCTCTTTGGATAGTCTTATTTGGTGGGTGGATTTGGGCTGTCTCCAAGCACCTATTTACAAGTTTCATTTGGCCATCAGTTTGTGGGTGATATGT